AAGAAGTTATTGAACAGAATCATACTAGCACAGATCCTTGTGAGACCCCACTCAATATGCTCGTCCAGCACGATTGTGAACTATTAATAACTAGTTTGACCATGATTTTCCAGCCAGTTGTGCACCCAACTTACAGTAGGTTTATCTAGGCTAGATTTCTCTAGTTTGTTTATGAGACGGTTATGTGAGATAGTAGCAAAAGCCTTACTAAAGTCAAGATATATCACATCTACTGCTTTTCCCCATCTAAAAGGTATGTTACCCCACCAAAGAAGGATATTAGGTTGTTTGGCATGATTTGTTCTTGACAAATCCATGTTGACTGTTATTTATTGCTTTATTTTCTTCTAGGTGCTTACAAATTGATTGTTTGATTATTTGTTCCATTATCTTTCTGGGTACCTAAATTAAGATGACTGGTCTATAATTTCCTGGGTTGTCCTTATTCCCCTGTTTATAGATAGGTACTATATTTGCCCTTTTCCAGTCCTCTGGGATCTCTTCCATCTTCCAAGAGGTCTCAAACATAATCATTAATGGCTCAGAGATTGCTTCATCCAATTCCTTAAGTATTCTAGGATGTATTTTATCAGGCCCTGCTGACTTGAAGACATCTAACATGTCTAAGTCATTCTTAACCTGTTCTTTTCCTAGTTTAGCCTCAGTTCCTAACCCATTCACACAGATTTTCACAGTATTAGTCATCCAATCATTGCTAACCTTTTTGGTGAAAACAAACACTTCGGCCCTTGTTGCATTTTCTGTTACTGCCTTTCCCTCCTCATTTAGTAATGGGGCCTATCCTGTCACTGGTCTTCCTCTTGCATCTCAGAATTTTACAAATACATTGCTTGCTTACCCTTTATGTCCCTAGATAGATTGAGCTCATTTTATGCCTTGGCCTTTCTAATTATGTTCCTACATGTTTATGTTTGGGGGGGGGGGTGGTTATATTTATCCTTTTGTAATTTGACCTAGTTTCTACTTCTTTTTTTTTTTTTTTCAGGTCATTGAAGATCTCATGGTTAAACTAGAGTGGCCTCTTCCCATACTTCCCGTCTTTCCTATGCATTAGAATAGTTTGCTCTTGTGCCCTTAATAGTGTCTCTTTAAATAAATGCCAACTCTCCTGAATTCTTTTTTCCCTTTGCTTGCTTCCCATGGGATCTTGCCTACCCATTCTCTAAGTTTGCTAAAGTCTGCCCTCTTGAAGTTCACTGTCTTTATTCTGCTGTTTTCCCTTCTACCATTCCTTATAATCATGAACCTCATCATTTCACGATCACTTTCACCCAAGCTAGCTGCCTTCCACCCTCAGATTCTCAACTAGTTCCTCCCTGTTTGTCAGAATTGCCTCTTTCCTAGTTGTTTTCTCCACCTGCGATAATAAAAAGTTGTCTCCAATGCATTCCAAGAACTTGTTGAATAATTCGTGCCCTGCTATCTTATTTTCCCAAAGACGTCTGGATAGTTGAAGCCATCTGCACCAAGTCCTGTGCTTTGGATGATTATGTTAGTTGTTTTTAAAAAGTCTCATCCATGTCTTCCAGAGTAGGTGGTTTATAGGAGACACCCTACCATGACATCACCCTTGTTTTCTATCCCATATATTTTACCCAGAGACTTTCAACAGGTCTGCCTCCCACTTCTATCCCAACCTCAGTGCAAACATATACTTGTTTTATATATAAGGAAACACCTCCCCTTTTCTCCCTGCCTGTCCTTCCTGAGCACTTCTGTACCAATATTTCAGTTGTAAATTATCCCACCAATTTTTTGTGATGCCAATTATATTACATTTGTAATTATTCACTAGTATTTTTAGTTCTGCCTGTTTATTCCTCATACTCCTTGCACTAGTATACAGACATCTAAGATGATTATTAGATTTCTACTCTATATTCCTCCTTGT